CCATACTACCTAGTTCGTTGCAGAGCACGGCCCGTGGAAATATCGTATTGTTTCAGCTAATATCCAAAGAAAATTTGACAGACGTGCAAACGCATGATAACGCACATGCGCAGGGTTCAACATTTACTTTTTTATTTCACTAGACCATCGGGCTTAGTAACTGAGGAAAACCACTAGCCTGACCTAACTTTCACTAACTTTCACCATTGTTATGGAAAACTTTATTTGATAAGACTAAAGATGTGTCATCGTATGAATTCATAGATGTGTTTCCTGGCTTTAAATGCGACGTGGCCCGAGTTCACGTGCAGCATTCGTATTCTACCATGGGCATACACGAGCGCACGGTTTATCGATCTGTCTACTGCGCGCTGGCCAGCAAGCCACGTTATGTTTTTGCCGAAGGGTAGACTGGTATCCGGCCTCAATGCTCTGCTGGACAATGTACACGCTCTGCGCAAACAGTCGCGGCGAGCCAGAGAGTGAACTTCAGTGCAATATTTATATATATGACAATTCTAACACGACCAGTGGCCGGGGCTACTAGCACTCTGGTTGTATGCGACCGGACCAAGCATTTACCCGACTAGGTCGGTCGGTCGGACGTGGGTTAGTGTCGAACCCTGCACATGCGTTATTGTTAATATCTTTAATTTTGAATCTCAGACTGCGGACTCCCTCATTTTGCTGCGGACTCCCTCTTTTTGAGGGTAGGGAGTCGGTTGGCCTCCCGTGTTCAAAAGTTAATTTCTACCCGTGGTATACTTACTTCAGTATATATATATACAGGGATGAGAATCTTCCGCGGAAATCCGCGCATTTGACAGTCCCAGGGTTGATTTTGTGAAACGTCTAAATCCGTTGAGAGAAAATTTTAGATGGGTTAGAATGTACAAATTTTCATTTTACAGTCCAACAGTACCTTCATTTAATAACATTGTAATATAGTTCGCTTTACAATATAGACACGGCTTAGTTCACTGTTTGAGATTGTCAGACGTTGGCCAGTGTGTGCGTTTATTTGACGCTGCAAGTGCGTGTGTGTATGTGTGCCGCGTGTGCTACGCAGGACGGATATAATATACAGTTTAACTGTACTGTCGTATAAAGTAGAAATGTGTTCTTCAAAACACGTATACTTCAAATTGTAGCACTCACTAATGAAGGTAACATATAAAGAGGGGTTTAAAAATATGTCCTCGCATATATAGAATTGTATTTTGCTTTAGCATAATCAAATGCATGATTGAAATTTCAGGCCGACCTCTCTCCAGACCCTCTTGAGGTCTATGGCTACCTAAATGACCAGAACATAGGTTGCCAAGTGGCAGAACTTTACACATCCTGGGCATATGTGTTGGAGCAATTAGATGATTTTCCAAAGGCCAGTAGAATCATTGAAGAGGGATTGGTACGGGGTGCCCAGCCAACAGATCATCTACTGCAGTTCCAACGGTAAGCTTAAAACGATTCAAATGTCTTGCTGATCAAATTTGTTTAAGCTTTTTATTGCAATCGGAAAATTAGATTTGTTCTTTTTTGTTCGGAGCCATGTAGGCGAAGTCTTAAAAAAGCCATATACATGTCATCAATGCCAAGTCAATTAGTGCTGTATCATAGCAGGGCAGGTAAAAGCAGTTTTTTACCAGCCCACACAAATTTTGTTTTGTTTTTTCAAAAATAAAGGTAAGACTTTTACTGAATCTTGCTTGTCCGCAAAATGTTGTAGTGTGCGGCATCGCATAGTAGCTATTGAACGGACTATAATGCAGATCGTGAATGATGTCCAAAGTGTTTTTGTCAATGTCATGTTTCACGCTTGCATTCTCGATTTCAAATTTGTAAAATGTTGATAAAATTATGGCATGATATCCTTCAGGTATAACATTAATGTAGGCTATTTGCTCATTAATGCTGTTCGGGGGATTCGCACGACCCACCCCCCTTCCCCGAGCACAAAAAAAAACAAAAAAACATGCTAGATGGTGTGCATTTGTCACTTCAGACTGCTCAGGAAGAGGAGGGGCGTAGAAAAACAGAGCTGGATTTTTTTCGGGGGGGGGGGGCTTCTGAATCTCCAAACGAAAATTAAGCATGCTTTTTTATCATGGTATGAAGGTATCCCCACCAATAAATTCGCTCTGTCTGATCGTGGCTTCGTACCCTCGTTAGCCCTACCAACATTTTTTTTATCATTGTGCTTCCCCCCCCCAACAAGTTAACAACAACAAAGTGACACTGTGAAGATGGCATGCAGTTATTTCTCTGAAAGTGTTTCATGCATGTACTTGCTCCTCTTACTCTTAGCAATTCGTTTACATTCTTTATTCCTATTATTCATATTTATGCAAATTACTGACTTTCCCAAAGTCGAAGACATTTTTACTGAATATAGGTGTTTTTTTCTTGTTTTTTCATTTGAAAATTTGCAAGAATTTCACCTCGGGTATATGCACCAGATTGCTCCATTTTAGTGTAAAAATTGCAAAAGCTCGATCCTTCGTGTGGGAAGGGGGTTTTCCTAGTCATATTATTGATCATATTAGTATTTTGATCAACTAATATACACACCCTAGCTCCCCCCGGCTTGGTCGCTACGCTCCCTCGCTAGGCACCTTCACTTCATGCCCAAATTAAAAAAACGAAATCCACCCAATAAAAAGCTGGCTACGGGGCTATGGTACAGGGGCCGGTTTCACGAAGCGTACTTAAGTCTTTAATCATAATTAAATCACTAATCAATTACTGATTACTGATATCATAAACTTTTTCCATAGATATAGAATCTTTATTCTAGGGCGCGATATATATGCGAAGTATGCGTTATATAGGGCGCCTTATTATATATATCTATGCTTTTTCTGACATTGGTACCACCAGGTGGCAGTTCATTATCACGTGACAGTAACGGTGGAAGTTTTAAACGTTGATTAGTATCCGTGAAATTGTACGATTTATGCTTTTTCTCAGTAAATAGACACATTTCTATATTTTACCGTTTTTGTTATGGAAACACACGTAAGTGAGCCGTATGAACTAAGTGAATGGGAGTTAAGCAAAGAGAATGTGCAACCTTTGAAACAAGGAAGAAAAGCGAACCGCTTATCCGTGGCTTTGCAGCCACACGGCGGTGAACCACAAATCCATCGACTTGTCAGAGACGAGAAACAGTATGTTGTTGTTAAAGTTTAATCAAAAGTTCAACACATTAAAGTACAGAACATACCACATATATTGGTTGAGTTTGTATCATCCTAATCTGTAAATTATCGCGATTTTCTAACATGTTTAAATCGCAAATTTGCAGCTTTTTCGGTTCAAGGATAGACTAGAGAACATGGGTCCCAATAAAATTTAACCAATGTCATTTACATCAATATAAATATAATATTATATCAATATAATAGGTTAGGATTAGGGTTAGGCACATTGGTTTTATTGGGACCCATGTTCTCTATCCTTGGGCCGCTTTTTCCATTGCAATGAATCTGCAGTGTTGATTTATCGATTTGATCAACTTGTCTGTTCGTCTTCATTATAGTCCCTTGGACTTTTGAAGACTACTGAGGTTATGTCATTGATACTAATACTTATAGTCGTTTGGGACCCTGAAAATGTGTTTTCGCATGTGCTAAACTAAGTCTAATCCGTGGTGCTAAACTGTAATGTTCGCTGAGACTGAGAGGGTCTATGTCCCCCGGGGTACTGCCGGAACGTACCCTGGGTACGGTCCGGTATACCGGAACGTACCCTGGTACTATCTAATATGCCGGACCGTACCTCGCCTACTCCACTAACGAGTCTAGGGAGTCGCCTACGCCTACTCCCTAACCCGAACCCAAACCCTAACCCTAACCATATCAAATAGTGACCAGGGTACGTTCCGGCAGTACCCTGGGTCACATAGACCCTATGAGCGTAATGTTCAGCATTTACCCATTCATTGTCGTCTAATCTAAACTCTAAAGGCAAAAGTGATATAATATTATTATTAATAATAAAGAACATGTAATTATGCCAACTGCTCTTGTTATTACTATTACTAGTATTAGTATTTAGCAATAGAAATAATATTGTATGTATGCTTAGTCATTGAATAACGTAAATACAAAAATGAGAATAACATTCCTATTTTTGTATTTCAGTTATTGATGTAATGTTCAAACCAAGGCAAGATAAAATATACGAGAGAAAAAAAATTATTGATAATGGCACAACGTTTTTATCAATTGTCTACTATGGTGGGCTGTGGTTAATAATTATGTTGACTTTCCAGGGAATTTGAAGTCGCAATCCGAACTTACAGTGGTGATGATCCTTTAGATGTTTGGGACAGGTAATTTTAAAAATAAATTATCAGTTATGAAAATTAACACTTGCCATGCAGTCATTCAACATGAGTAAGAATGATATTGGGTCCCAGAATTTCATTAGAATGTCATCCAGAATACGAGGGTTTGTTTGCATAGGTATACATTCCATGATTTATATTGTCGTCCTTTCTACATTTTAAGCTGGGTTTAAGTTATCAACTTTTAGTTGAATAGTTGAATAGTTGGTCGACCAACTTTTTTGACCAAAAGACAGCAGTATAAACGTAAATGTTGCATGCTCAACTAGTTGAGGGAATAGAACATGTCATTGCTTCGACGAGTTGATCAACTTTTCAACGTTCTTTTAAAATTGATTCATTTTTTTATTTATTTGCGAAATAACCCTTTTAAATTTAACATAACAGTATATACATACATGTGACCTTATTGGTTTAGCATACAGGTGAGATGTAGTGATGTATGCTTAGCCGCCTACATGCACTGACATACTGCTTTTAAATGTCAGTTTGGTTTGCTACTTAATTTCTATAATAAAAAGTTGGTGTGTTCTGATCGTGCCCTGTAGGGATTACATGTCTTTGTATTTATAGGTATATCAAGTGGACAGAACAAAATTTTCCCAAAGGTGTAAAGGAGAGTAATTTGGTGCTCTTACTACAACAATGTCTGAGCTCGTTCGTGGAGGAAGAGAAATATAGAAATGATAGACGATATATCGAAGCTTGGATAAAATTTGTGAGTACTTCAGGGTGAAAAATTAACGGGAGTCCGGAGTCAAATACTCTCAGATTTACTGTCGTACTCCCTGATTTGACGTATGCAGGAGTCCGTGTGACTCCCTGAAAATTCTGCCATACTACCTAGTTCGTTGCAGAGCACGGCCTCGTGGAAATATCGTATTGTTTCAGCTAATATCCAAAGAAAATTTGACAGACGTGCAAACGCATGATAAGCACATGCGCAGGGTTCAACATTAACTTTTTATTTCACTAGACCATCGGGCTAGTAACTGAGGAAAACCACTAGCCCTGACCTAACTTTCACTAACTTTCACCATTGTTATGGAAAACTTTATTTTGATAAGACTAAAGAGTGTGTCATCGTATGAATTCATAGATGTTGTTTCCTGGGCTTTAAATCGCGCGTGGCCCGAGTTCACGTGCAGCATTCGTATTCTACCACGGGCATACACGAGCGCACGGTTTATCGATCGTCTACTGCGGCTGGCAGCAAGCCACGTTATTGTTTTTGCCGAAGGGTAGACTGGTATCCGGCCTCATGCTCTGCTGGACAATGTACACGCTCTGCGACAAACAGTGCGGCCGCGAGCCAGAGGTGAACTTTCAGTGCAATATTATATATATGACCAATTCTAACACGACCAGTCGGGCTACTAGCACTCTGGTTGTATGCGACCGGACCAAGCATTTACCCGACTTTACAGGCTTTCATTTTTAAGGGGCGCGATCGCGCTCGCGCTCCACCGCGCACC